CACGCCGCTGGCACTAGAGGCACAGCATGGCCGCCTAGTAACGGCCCCGACCACTGCCGCTCGACCTGACCGGAAAAAACCGTAGCAGGAAGCTAGCGAAGTCGTAGCATATATCGTCACAAACAGAACTGCCCGGTAAACCGTAGGCAGAGAGAGAGAAGAGGACAACAAACGAGGGGCTGTGACAAACTGTTTCGTCGGAGTTTCACCGACGAATCAGGAGGCTGATATATATATATCGTCAAACAGAGCTGCCCGGTAAACCGTAGGTGGCAGAGAGGGAGGGAGAAGAAGACAACAAACGAGGGGCTGGTGACAAACAGTTTCGTCCGACTTTCACCGGCTCATCAGGTATATATACATATAGTATACACAGAACAACTTCACGAGACCTTGTCACATCATCCCAACTTTTGTAAGCAGGGGGCCGCAGACGATAGCATATGTGAAACCACGTGGCGCCACATCATGCATGGGGAGATTCTCGTGTTGAATACAACGAATGATGAAGTGCGAGCCCCCCCGTCCCCTCCTCTGTTCTACAGGAAAGCCCCAGGGGAACTCGCCACGTCAACGCGCCCCCCAAAACTCCTGTCAAGACAGGTGCAAATGTGAGAAGTACAAAACGACAGCGCGACGTGCCATCAACCCAAACTCCCGCTCCGATGAATCTTTCATTGAAAATTTCCTAAAATGACTGTGAGGGGAAGACGACCGATGGTATGTGTCGTCTCCTGCTCGCAACAACTTTCCTAAAATAACTGTGAGGAGTGCGATCTATCGCGTCTTGGGTTATACTAGCGCCACATACTATCTGCGAGAATAAGAGGACGACGTGGCACACCGTCAGGCATTTGTGCTTTTTTTTTTTTTTAAAGCTATGCATTTGCGCATTTGCGCACAAATGCACATTTGTGCTTGTGAGATAACACGAACGCACGGTCAGGCAATTTGTGCATTTGTGCTTACGAGACGACACAAATGCAAATGACTGACAGTGCCACGTCGTCCTCTTTCTCCCAAACAGTTTTCCCTCTCGGGGGTCCAGACTACCCACCGGCCATCGACGTTCTCTCGGCGATCTGTGCATGCATCATAGCTGACAAAGCCGCACCACATCATCACCTCCCTCCCCCTACTATCTACTAGTGGACGTGGGATCCAAACACAAAAATTGAGATGCGCCTACCATCTTCCCTCGAATAGAACGTACCGTCTTCCCCCGCATACTGGTGACTGTATTTTCGATATTATCCTCGATCGGTAGAAGGCACGAAGTGCTCAGCCTACCATCTTCCCCCGAATAGAACGTACCTTCATTATTCCTGTATTTTGACCAACTTCCAGTCTAGATACCGCGTTAATGACCGTACGTTATCTTCGGGGAAAGACGGTAGACTTGTTCACCGTGCGTTATCGGTTAAGTATCAGAGACGGTAGACTTGTTCACCACCGTGCGTTATCGGTTAAGTATCAGAGACCGTAGACTAGTTCACCGTGCGTTATCAGTTAAGTATCAGAGACGGTCTACTTGTTCACCGTGCGTGATCGGTTAAGTATCAGAGCCTGCCACGTCTTCATCCTCCTCCACACCATAGTTCCGCCGTTCTAACCGTGGCCGTTTTCTGAGCGCACATACCAGTGCTCGAAGAGCGGGAAGGCCGCCACCTCTCTTATGGCCCCGCTTCTCAGAATGCTCATCACTGCTCTCACCCACTTTCGACAGCGCCTTCCACCTTTGCTCTCCCAACGGCATGCAAGTGAAAGAGGTCGTGCCACGTCACCTCTCCCGCTTACTATGCATGTGATCGACAACACCCCCCCGCTCGTCGTCTCGTCCTGCATCATCAGTACGTAGTACGAGATCGCTCCACGTCATCATCTCTCTGCACACCATTGCTATCGACGTACTGGTCATTCCATAGCCCAGCTTCCGACATTCTCGTAGATGCCCTCCCCCTTCCTCGATGACGCCTTCACACCATGAGCGCGAACGAGGTGTCACCGCTGGTCGCTTCCCCCTTGTCCCCCAGCTACATTCAGAGGTACTTCACTCTACTGATTCCATGGGATTTGAACGCAGGTATGAATTTCAACAGTTCACGGTTGTACCAACTGAGCTAGGCCCGTTTGTCAGACTCCCTTCTGGTCGTCACACGCACCCGATTCCCTGGACCTGAGACACGAGCGCCACCCACGTGGCGTAGCAGCCGACACGTGCCGGCAGCTGCGTCCTCCGCCTGGCCGACACGTGACGGCAGCTGCGTCCTCCGCTCGGTCAACATGCGACGGCCTCCGCGGCTGCTTCCGCCCGCCCGTGCTTTACCACTTCGCAAACTCGCTGTACGCTTTCTGAGCGCACATACCAGGGCTCCAAGAGCGGGAACGACGCCGCTACCTCTCTTATTCACCAGCGGCGCAGTCCGATCCCAGAGCATGCAAAGCACACAGTGTAAACGCGTCCTGTGAGTTTCTTGTTTGGCATGTGATCGAGCTGCACAACACACTGGGCAAACCCATTCTCACGCAGTTCTTGTGAGCACCCATGGGTGCCATCACAGCTCTCGTGAGCGCCCACGGCAGGCAAGAGCCTGGCGACGTTATCATGGCCGAAGACCCGGCTGCCATGGGTGCGCCATGGGTGCCATCACAGTTCTCGTGCGCACCGATGACACCCAAGAAGCTGGGGCTGTGCAACTATGGCTGAAGACCCGGGTCCCATCGACAACGAAGCGCTTGGTTATGCAGCTCGCGGTCCCATTCGTTGTTGTTCCCGGTTTTTATCCATCGCCAAACGCACATTGTCGTCCACGACTTCTATTCCCCTCCCCCTCCCCCCTTCCCCCCACTCTCTGGCTGCACTCGCGAAGAAGATGTATTCCCCAAACTTGGGTAAACTACGAAATCATGCTGCTATTTCAACAGGCGCTGGCGGTGCGCTGGGCAGCGGAAACTTCTGGTGGGAGTTGCGCAGCTGTCCGCATGCAGCGTTCGCATCCAATCCCCTCGTTACTCTTATACTGACCGTCACATCGTTATCCTCCAGTCTTCTGGCGAACGCCATTACCGCCGCTTTGGTCGGCCGTCGGAAATCTGAATCCTCTATAGGGTTATATGGAATGAGATTGACATGCCGATCGAGGTGCCGACTCTTGAGCAAGGAGGCCAGCTGCACTGCGTGTTCGGGCAAGTCGTTAACACCAGCCATCAACGCGTACTCGAAGGAGATCCGTCGCTTCGTAGCCAAGAAGTAATGGCGGCAATCATCCAGCAAAGCAGAGAGAGGATATGCCTTCGCGCTGGGAACCAGCTTCTCTCTCAGTTCTTGATTAGGCGCGTGCAGGCTCACCGCAAGAGTGGATTGAAACTCGTACGTCGCTAGTTTCGCGATGGCGTTCGGTACGCCAACGGTTGAGATCGTCATCATTCGCTGCCCGATGCCGATGTCCTTGTTCAGACACCGATGGGCTTTGACCACTGCTGCGAGGTTAAGCAGAGGCTCTCCCATCCCCATGAAGACAACATTGGATACTCTGTGCCGATACAACTCCTCAACGGCGAGCACCTGATCGACGATCTCGTGGGCTTTCAGACTGCGCGCGAACCCGCCCTTCCCCGTCGCGCAGAAGGTGCAACGCATCGGACAGCCAACCTGGGAGGACACACATACAGTGAGCCTTTCTTTGCCCCTTCCCTCCGACGAAGGGATGCCAACCGTCTCCACAAGAAGGTCGTCCTCCAGCCTCAGCAGGAGCTTCGCCGTTCCGTCTCTTGCCGTGACTACTGTATGGATTGGAGATCGACCAGCTACCCAGCCGTCGTCGAGCAGCCTTTGACGAAAGGCAAGCGGAAGCTGCGCCACCTGCATGAAGTCCCTTCCTTTCCCAGAATAAAGGAAATGATGGAGTTGTTTCCCGCGGTACTTCTGCTCTCCATAGTCCACGGCTAATTGCTGCAACTCCTCCAGGGACTTGCCGACAAGAAACTTCCCTCCTTGCCCTCGCGCAGCCGCCGCCGGCGGCGGCGGCGGCGGCGCTTCTTCCTTCGATCCCCGCTTCGTAACCGATCCATTCAACTCTTTACGCTTGTCGGCGTTTTCCTGCGCCCGAACCTCATTCTCAGGGGGGCCATCATCTGGTCCATTATTTGTTCTCATCGAAGTTTCCGGCTGAAAAGATGATGCATCTGGTCTATTCTTTGTTCTAAAAGTTCCCCGCTGAAATGATGATGCATCTGGTCCATTCATTGTTTTAAAAGTTTCCGGCTGAGATGATGACAAAGAAGAGGCGGCAGAAGACGAGCGAGGAGGAGAAGAAGAAGAAGAAAAGGAGGAGGAGGAGGAGGAGAAGTTACGACGAGGCGTCGCCGGCGATGGCTGCTTAGGGAGCTGGCGTCGTTCGCCCAACCTTTCCTCCCCTGATGAAACACCACCGGCTGCTTTCCTCTCGGAGACAGGCCAAAATGGAGGTCCATTTGAACGTTCCCTTCCCGCCGATTTCGCCCTCTTCCCCCACTGCCCCTCCTCGTCTTCCGTTTTCCTTCTTGCGAGATTCCCCGGCAGCGCCGACGCAGCAAACATGCCCCCGCCGCCGCCGCCGCCGCCTCTCTTCAGCTCTCTCTCTCCTCCTGACCCTTCCTGCAGGTCATGAGAACGAACTCTCCATCCTATTTCCCCCTCAACCAGTCCATCATGTCTACGAGGGGAAAATGACGACACCCACCTCGATCCTTCACCGACCAATCCATTCCCAAGATGACAGGAAGCCCGGCTATGGCGGCTGCGAAGTATCGGGATGTCGGTCGGTACACCGATGCTCCGTAGGGATCCCATCGCCGCCGATGATGGCTGAGAACCCGACGACCATGCCCAGTCATCTTTGGATCCTCCGCAAAACGAACCAGGCACGAGATTGTCTGCACGGCATCGCCAGGACCTCGCCGCCCATTCCATCAGGTTCTCCTGCTCATTCCTGGCTCGCCACGTGGCAGATACAGCGGCCTTCTTCATCACCATCCTCGCGGATCGCTCTTTTCCATCCATCACCATCATCATCGTCATCATCGTATCCCTCCCGTTGCCATTCCATGATGACGCACGACAGCAAGCGGGATCCACGAGCGGAAACCCGCGTATCGTTATTCCCCGTCGCACAGCGAAATTCGGTCTCACGCGCCGTATACATGCCCTGCATTGAGCCGCCATAGCCGCCGCAGACGAAGCGCCTACGACGGCGGGTTCAGCCATCGAAGTGGCGGCAACAAGTAGCCGAGCGGAAAAACAAGCTCCTTTCCCTGCGGGGCTTGGCGGACGGACGATGGGAATCGAAAACAGGAACCAATCCAGTTGGAAAAGAGCGGGAAACTGCGTAGCGCCAGAGGCGCAGCGCATGCGCTGTCGTGGAAAAGGGCCGTTGATGACAGTTGGCGAGAGCTGCGCGCTCTCGACGCTTGCGCAGCAGCTCGTGAGAAATCGCGTCGCGTCCTACCCGGCGGTAACGGTGGAGATCGACCCGAGTTCTGCTACCGGTAGCAACTGCGCGGAGAACTTGAAACCGGGTGGTCGTAGCTGACCACTGGATATGGGTGCGGCAATACTACTGGACCACTGGACCACTGGACCATGGACCATGGGCCACAGAGCATGGGACCTGGAACATGGGAGTGCTTGTTTTCCTTCGCGACTGCATTTTCTGGGAATATAGGGGTGCTCAACCCTGCACCATGTCCTGCTAGATGTCCCCGTCCATGCCCCTGGATGGTAAACCAGGGGATTGCCAGTTCTACAGTAGTACCATATCTCAAGCTCAAGGTCATCGTGTCCTTTTCCCAGCCATTTTTTCAGAGTTCCCGCATGCATGCTGCCGCGACTCTTGGGAAGTACTAGGGCACCGTTTCGCTGAATACCCATCCAAGCAAACATGGGTCGCATGCGAGGCCCATTTTGCCTGGACGGATATCCGGCGAAACATCAAGGTCGCATGCGAGGCCCATTTCCCTGGACAGATATCCGGCGAAACAGCACCCGGGTACTTCCCGAGAGTCCCAGCAGCATGCACACCGCGACTCTGAAAAAATGGCTGGGAAACGTACTGGGGGTTTAAAAAGAGGAGGGGGGGAAAGAACCCTGCATCATGAAGAAAATTGCGGGGTCACCAACTGGCCTAGCTCAGTTTGTACGCACCCATGAACGGCTGAAATGCAAACCCATGTTCAAATCCAGGTCCAATTAGGTACGCAGAACTAAATGATGCTCAATTACCTGGGGCAGGTCAGTTGAATGATGATATCTCAAGGCCGTCACCCTTCTAAAAATAAGGGCGTCGTTAGACACTCCTTACGAGTTCCTTGAGCCACAAGGAAATTTGCGGCATCGTTCCACTCATCCTTGGGGACCTCCCCCGCGGATGTTTCCTTGTGGCGTGCTGGCGGCCATTTTCATACGGAAATTAGTGGCCGCGGGGTCGGTCGTCCGTGGTCCACCATCTTTTGTCCCTGTGGAGGCGGCGTGGTCCAGTGACGTGTGGCGGGAAACGACACAAGGCGGGCGACGGGAAAAATTTTAACCCGGGGGGCGTCAACGTTTGAAATTCGAATTTTGAATGACGGCTGCGACGACGAGGACGATGTGTGGCTGGCGGCACGAAGACAGCGTACTGCTGAAACGGGCTCAGCGGCAGCGTCCCTTCCATCCCCCGGCCGTTGTGAGTGCGCAGGCATCGTCGGGTGCGTCCATTGTCGTGGACCTTCTTCCATGTCGACTGTGCCGTCAAACATATTTTCGTCGGCAGGACTGCATCCAGAGAAAAGGGTCCAGCTTTCGACGGATGTCTTCGGCTTCTTCGCTGGGTGTGGAAGGACGACACACACGACAGCGGAGCGACGGGTCCGTCTCCAGGTTGCGGATATGGAGGGCGACGGAGAGGGTGGACATGCGGTGTTGACGTCGCTTGAGCTGCAGGCCATGGCGGCGGCCGTGTCTACCGTTGTTCTTCGATGTCAGCAGGAGAGGGCGCTGGGACGAATGAAGGAGCAGTTGCGCGCGCGTAAAAGGAGGACATTGATGCAAGCTTCAGACGATGACCCCGACTACGTGGCGACCTCGGAGATTGTTGTTCAGTTGTGCTACGCGTTGGGTTGCGGAGTGATTCCTCGAGCGACGTTGAGGTGGTGGATGAAGCACAGGACAGGAGGCACGTGGGAAGACCTCAGGCAATGCGACGACGCGACAGGCGACTACTTTCGGGAGAAGCTACGCATGTCGTCGTGAGTGTTCCAGAACATCAAGGAGGCATGTGCACCTCATCTTCAGCAGCGGGTAACGTTCTACAGAGAGTCTTTGCAACCAGACCATATTATGGCGTACACACTATACAGGTGGGCGTTGGGGGAGATATACGAGAGCAACACATGCAACTTCAGGGTTGGCAGAGCTTCTGGCCTGGTTGCCGTCCCCGACGTTACTGCTGCGCTGCTCCGGGTGTACGGAGAGAAGATAGCCTGGCCGACTGGAGTTCGTAAAGCGTTCGCCGGCTTGTCCACGTAGATGTGAGTACAGTCAATGCAACCGTGGCAATTAGGGAACCCTTTAGCATTTGAATTTTTGACCGTTGTCGACGATCTCCCAACGCAGCAAACCGCATGACACTGGCCGGCGACAGCCGACTCGTCGGACGGAGGCCTCACACGAACGGTGACCGTTTGAAGTTGTTGGGGTGCCGCCCAGACGGTGGAGGGCAGGGATGTCCGTGCTCTCGTTCGGCGGACCACGTCTGGACCACCCTCAAACCGAAACTGTGCGTCGACACATGCCTTCGTCGCTCTGAAATTCGCGCTTCCTTGTGCTTGAAGGATCTCGTGAGGTCCCTTGTGGATTATGAGAAATTGGTTGTAGCCACAAGGAAGCCACAAGGAAATTTCCTTGTGTTGTTTTCACTTTTTTTTTCGCAAATCGTCCCCAAGGACAGGTGGAACGAGCACTTCCTTGTGGATTTCGGGTCCCCGAGGAATGTCTAGTGACGCCCTAAGAAGGGAAAACTACGTGGGAGTCACAAAAATGAGTTATAATTGCACTATGGATCAAAAATGAGTTGTAATTGCACTATGGGCCAAGATAGGCCAAAAACAAATTGCAGGGTGAAGGTGGTCAGGTGCCCGGAGCACTGGATCCATGGTAGTAGAGGACCATGGACTGTGCTAATGCACATACAAAACCATCAATCAAATTTAGGACCCCCTGCAATCATCGGACAACCGATACCAAATGCAACCAGTGACAAAAATGCAACCAATGGCATCGTCACATTGGAACTCTTGAGACTGAATCCGGGTGGTCAGATACACACATACCCACATGCACTTTTCATTGTTGGGGGGAACCACCTAGGGCTGAAAAAGTGGGGGTCCCTGTTAACCACTTGTGGTGTGACCTCGATAGTCACACGCACCTGCTCGAGGTCAGGTACAACATCCCATCATAACCAGCACAAAGATCTACCTTTGTTGTGTGCTGACTCCTTTGGCCACATTACCTATTTCTCTTTCTTGATCCCATCACCCATTATGCACCAAGAAAAATGCAGACACACCTACTGGAAACCAGGTCCAATTTCCGATCAATCACATCAACTTGAAGTGTTTAGATCAAACACAATCTGTTCACTGAACTTCACTCCTATAGTTTTGCTAGCTCGGGTTAGACCACCAGTATCCCAGGGGGTCTTAGGCCCCCTCTGGGGAGGCTCTGATGCAAATGTATATGGCCCCATTTGGTGCCCTAATTCAACCACCGCGTGAACGACCTAAAAACGTGGAGGTACTGGTGGGTTAGACCACCAGTACAGACCCTCTCCTGGAAAACTTGCCAGGGGCCAGTGGAGTATACACAAAACAGGGCGCCCTTTCTACCACCGGGAAGTTCGTGGGGCTTATCATGAGCTAGGTTGGGGTAATTGGTGGTTTGAGATCCCGTAGAAAATACAATTTTGATGCATTGGAAAACAAAAATCGTCATAAACAGTTTCACGAAAACCAATAAACACGGACCAGTTTGATTTCATTCGGTGCAGAAAAATTAGGCTTGGCAATTTAGGGTTCATCTTACTACTGCTAGTTGAATCTCAACTTCCGAAGTCATTCTGACAGAGAACTGGTTGGAAATACTCATTGTGGTATGAGGTTGCGGGTTCAAAACTCCGCAGCCTTTCGCATGGACACCGGCAGGGCGTTAGAATGATGCACGACTGAACACACTCCCCTGGGCTGACGCAGGGAAGTGCTTGCGCACCACCCAGGGTTAAGTCCATGGTTGTTGTATATTGGGTTTGGGCTGTGGGATGTTTGTCTGATGCTCGTGGTTCTAGTGGTTCTTTGCAGGCTTGCATACTTGAGGATGATTGTTCATTTGCCCTCCGGTCCGATATTGCGTACAAATTGTTAAGTTTTCACACTAACTCAGTAGGTTCGATAGAAGATTGCATGAATGAGGTCATGTGTTCAAATTTGCTTATCAGATTCTAGTGGGAGGCAAGACCAAAAGACCTACACACTGCCCATAGATTCAAGAAATGGTTGATGAAAGGAGACGTTCCCGCTTCGTTTCCGTACCTTTTTTTTTGTAGCCTTTTGAGTGTTTTTAGTTGAAGTGTTGCGACTCCTCCCCATCCACTCTTTTGACGGTAAACGTAAAGAGGAGAAAAAGAGACGACGTTGGAATAGGGGAGAAAAGAAGAAGGGCGTGAGACATTTCAAAATAAGTGACATGATACTAACATGGCACTACTAAAAGAAGAAGCGAGAAAGACAAAGAAGCCCGGAAGACCCCTACTCAAATACCACTCCTCCCTCGGGATCATCCCAAATTGAAAGCGGGCAGGAGGCAGACAAAGGTGTGAGAGAAACGTCTGAAGTCTCATAAGGAATAACTCAGCAACAACAACGAATGAAAGAAACAAAGGAGAGGGTGGAGACACAAACAACACAGACCTCCTCCTCTAACTTGAACTCCTCAAACCCCCTACCGAATTCATGCGCTAGTAAGCTGAAAAACTTTACAGTGGAGGAAAACTAATGGTGAGGAGGGAATCCTCGGACGGAAGAGAGGGCGACCAAAAGTTGGGCATCCCACTGGATAACCTCATAACAACCAGCACATATTTCCTTTCAAAATTATTGACCAAGGCGGAGGATCGAATTGTCAACCAAGGAGGGAAACAACACAGCGTCAAAGTACTTCCCTTAGACAAGGTGCGAGAGAGGGATGAAGTGTACACCTGCCATGCAAGTACCTGGGTATTTTATGACGATGCGGCATACAAAACGACTAACGATAAGATAGGCTGGATCAGAAAGTGATTGGCGACCATGAAAGGATCGGAGGAGGGAGTCAAAAACTTCTTCTTGATCCAGCCAATCTCTGCGTCAGTCTTCATGGTGATTTGCATGTTTGATGC